CTGCCCCCTCCCCTCGTCAATCCTTTTCCTGAACTCACAGTCAAAAACGAAGCCGATATAAACGCGGCGGCGGCCGAGGTTTTCTCTTCTTTCGACTCGATAATGTCCCTCGTCGGATGGGCGGCGCGGGTTCATCCGGACGGGATGACGAGAGGGTTTTTTAATACACCATGCCTCCCCCCCCCTCCTCCCTCCCCCGGAGGCTATACATGTTGTAAGTACAGCGACATAGGAACGCGCTGCTTCTTCTCCTGCCGCTCTGCTCGCTCGCGGGGTGGCCGGAGCACGTCATGCGTATAAACATGTGGTATTAAACCAACTGCTGCTGCCCCTGCTGCCTGATGGCCCTCCGCTCCGCCCCGGTCGTGCTGCGCTTGGAGCACACGCACACACGCACACACAGTACCATTCACCGCATCCCTGTTGCAGTAGCACGCCCGGTCAGTCACTACGGCGAGAGGGCCGAAACCGTTCCGTTGTCGGGAGTCCGGAAGAGAGGACATCAAGAGCAGCAAGTGCGTATGGTGGGAGGGGCTCAGGCTCTCCCTTTATTGCGACTCGAAAACCGTATATATGAAAAATGTAGAAAGTGCGGAGGGCAATGAAAGGAAGTGACGGCAAAGATAGCGTGGAAGAAATAATCAGAACGAGATAAAAAAAGGGGAAAAAACAACAACGGCAAACTACTTGAGAATCTTCCCTTTAGGTAGAGCTACTGGTCCGACACGACACGATCGCTAGTGAGAGATGACGAAAGGCTTGTTACGGAACTCACGAAACCACAAATTGGTGGGAAAAAGATATGACGATTCACAAACGATGAGCGTGAGAGGAGAGCAGCCAAAGAGAACGGGAAGGGAGAGAGAGGGAGTGGTGGATCTGGAGAGGCAGAGGGGAAGGAGCAGGGGGGGGGGGAGTGAAATGGGACGGCGGTTTATGGGCGCGCTGCTCACCCTGTTCGGTAATGGACGCAAACGCCGCGTCGGATTTCCGAGCTTTGATAGCTTCCCTGCACACACGGGGGCGATATACGGCCCTGCTAACGGCTTCATCTCCCGGGCTGACAATGACGATGAGGCTGACCTCTGACCCTCCCCCCCTCTCCCTCCCTTCTTTCCTCGCAAACCCCCGAGCACGTTCAGACAGCCCC